GCACTTTTGCTTTCCTCTTTGTGCGCATGCCCCGTTGGGTGCTTGTGCGCATCTTGTGGAGACTTGGGGGAAAAACAACCTGTTTGCAAAGGGACATGGGCGGGCGGCAGATGCCACCCCCGGAAACGCGATCAGATGCCAGCCCTTGCCCCACAGTTTCTGGAAACGAGTACCTCGGAGGTACTAGTTTTAACTCCGCATCTTCGGCGGGAAGCCTTAGGTTCGCCACGGGAGCTCTACGCTTCCCAGATGTTGCAGTGTGATCGCGCCCGGAAAATCTGCCTATCTTCCGTCTCCATAGCGTGGCTAATGCTCCGTGTGACTGCAGCCTATATAAGGCGAAGATGTATAAAATTTTCCACAGATGGCTGATTAAGTGAAAGGTATAAGAATATGACAGGTGTTTGTGGTTATAAAAAGTGAAAATACTGAATTTGGATTGATAACTGAAAAAGACAATAGACATAATTATGCCTTTATATCAGAATTGTACTTTCATATATGTTGTAATAACAGTAGGAATATTGGTTGTTGAAAATTGAAAATTAGAAAATCTCATTCTAGGGAAGAATGTATATATAAATTATTAGAAGTGGTTGAATTGGAAAACAAATTGCTATAATTCAAAAAGAATGAGCCTATTATTTTTTGACAATGTACAATGTGGAACTTATAGAGAGACGGGGGGAATCACAAACTGTTAAGTTTCTAAACTAGACTATGATGTAAATAGAACTTGGTGGTTAATGGAAGAAGATCCTCTGTACAATGATATACTTTAAGAAAAGCTTGTAAGTTATTCTTTTTCTCTCTTTTTTTTGGAAAAAATAAAAAGATTACTGAAAAAAGAAGAAGTAAATCCCACTGAACTCAGGGAACTTATTTTGAATAACTTTGTATAGGTTTTAGCTGAATGTATTTTGTTGTGGGCATGTTAAACGTTCCCCATTACACTTTGGACAATGGTTATAACTTATATGTCACTCAAAGGTTAGTACCCTATACCCCCAACCAGGGGCAACAGGACATCATAAGGATCTTCCATGGTCAGCAGAGACTCCCCCAGACTCAATGGTGCTCATTAAAGTTTGCTGTATTGTCAAGAACCACATCCACACAAACATGGTTTCCTTCACCTGCCCGCTTTACCCCTTTAAAACTTCAGGAAGCTGAGCTGCACCTCTGCCACATGGAGTAGTTTCATCACACCTGTCCAGGGTTACCTTATTTTGATTTTGCCCAAGGCCCCAGCTCCTCCTCTCTATTCCAGGCAGCTCTTCCCTTCTCTGTACCTTCCCAGCCTGCTTGCCTGCCTCTTGGCATCTGCACTGCTCCTCCTTCTCTGAGCCCTGTCCATTTGTTAACTCCTTCCTTGACTTGGCCCACCTTCTCCCGAAGCAGCGGCTGTTTTTGGCCCAGTAGGTGGGGCTTCCTCTGGCCTTTGTTGCTGCCTCTGTGCCACATACCCATAACATCAGTGGTGGCAAGTAGCACAATTTCCCCTTATGCATAAATCTAACTTAGGGCTTAGTTCACCAGAACTTTGGGGACGGGGCACAGGTCAGTAGTACAGCATCTGCTTGGCATACTGAAGGTCCTAGGTTCAGTTCCTAGCGAAAGATCTCTGCCTGGGATCCTGTTTGAGTTGATAATACCAACCTTAATGGACCAAGGCTTGACTCAGTAAAAGGCAGCTTCATGTGGTCAACTGAAATGATCTGGTTTTTAAAAGTCAAATGGCTGAATCAATTCTCATGGCCCAGAAATGCTTAGATACCAACATTTCCCCTACAGCAAAAGTTGAAAGGCCAGCGTGAGAGCCAGTTTGGTATGGTGGTTAGGAGCGCAGACTCAAATCTGGGAGAACCGGGTTTGATTCCCTACTCCTCCACATGCAGCTGCTGGTGTGACCTTGGGTCAGTTACAAGTTCTATCAGAGCTGTTCTCTCAAGGGCAGTCCTCGAAAGAGCTCTCTCAGCCCCACCTACCTCACAGGGTGTCTGTTGTGGGGAGGGGAAGGGAAAGGAGATTGTAAACCACTCTGAGACTCCTTCTTCCTATGCATGCTTGCTCAGAAGAAGACATACCAAGTTAAGTGGGATTTACTCAGAATGAGAGTATTTAAGACTGCAGTCTCAGAACCCGATTTTAGTCAGAGTCAGGTACACCCAGAAAATTCAGTGCAGAATTTGGCATATTTAACTCTGTATTGGATATGCCTGCAGGAAGCTGCAAAACAAATGGAAGTGTACAAAGGATTGACTAGAAAAGTGCAAGAGTCCAGTAGCACTTTAAAGACTAACAAAATTTGTGGCAGGGTATGAGCAGTGACTCACGGAAGCTGCCACAAATGCTACTGGACTCTTGCTCTTTTCTGCTGCTACAGATTAACACAGCTACCCATCTTGATCTATCTCCAGAGGATTGACTAGGGAGCACTGCTTGGAGCACCAATGAACTTTCCCTCTAACCTAAAAAGGCCATTCCTTGAATATATGAAGTTTAACAAAACCAGGGAGGCTGAGTTATCAATGATTACAGCTGTTGTGAGCACTGCACTGCTTATCTTGCATACTCCTGAGATTTAAACAGAAATGTCAAACTGTACTTCTCGCATTTCAAGGCTTTGTAACCTCCCTGACTGCTCACAATTTTTCTCTTTATATGCAAGAGGCCCACCCAAGCATCGTTCCTGGGGATCTGGTGCAAACATGCAAAACACTGCTCAGCCCCATCCCATCCAATCTCGTAAATCCTGAAAGAAGAAAAAAAATTGTTTTTGAAATAAAAAATGGACAGCAACATAGCGATGGGCTTGCAACCCAAGTTGAGCTCATCTGGGCTGTGGTAAAACGCGTCAATAGGTGCCACAAGACTCTTTTAACAGTGTAGTCCTAAATGAAATTATTCCAGACTCTCAACTCATTAAAATCAGTGGATTGAGACTGGAGTAACTCTGTAAAGAATTGCACTGTTAAATTTGCTTTTGTGCAAAAGTCTAATATAGCTACCGCTCTGCAGTAATGACGGAGGAACAGTCTGCACACGCTCAGAGGCATGGTTATTGTAATAAAATATTACTACTATTGCTACCGCTGCAATAAAATATTACCACTATTGCTACAGATCATTCAGCTAGCAATCCGAAACACCATTATCAGAGAATAACACATCCCCCCGCAATACCATTATCAGAGAATAACACATCCCCCCTCCCCCGCATTCAGTGGGATTTACTCCCGAGTAAACAACTTTATGATGGGTCGGCACAGTCTTTTGTACCGCTTTGCGGTGAACTGCCGTCTTGGACAGGGCCATTTTGCCGGGCACGAACGCCACCGACCGACGAGTGTCGCACTCTTTAAACGGACGTAGGCACGAAAGCGATAAACGATGCAGTGTACCGGGAGCCAAGCGCCGGGGAACTCCAACTCCCAGCCTGCAAAGCGACGCGCAGGCGCCGTTGGAGCCTATGAGGTGTGGGGGTGGCTGGCTCCAGAGCTGAGATTGGAGGAAAAACTGAGAGGGACAAAATTCCGTTGTTCGGCCCGGCTTGTCTGGAATGACGCCTCCGTGGGTGCGTTGTCGGGATGGGGGGGAGAAGCGAGAGGAGGCAGGGGAGCGGGGCGGCCGAGAGGGGAGAAGGTGGGGGCGTGACGCGTGACTGGCATGTGTGAATGCATGTTCACGTGTCTCTCTCTCTGCAAGGTAGGGTAGAAGGGGGGGAGTGTGTGCAACTGGCAGTTGTGCAGTAGACGCCCCTAGTGCTATGAGGGAAGGGGCTGTGTAGGGTGGGGGGAAGGGGCTGTTACTGGCCTGGGAGCCATGTTGCCAAATTCACATTGGCCTCCGTGTAGGGTGTCCACCAGCAGGCCTGCTGCCGCCCCTTTCGGTAGGGGTGTGATCTGCAGAAATCCTGGCATGAAGCAGAACCTCTGTCAGTTGCTGCAGGTCAGACTCCCTCCCACAGGGCTTCTTCAAATGTTGGCCGCTCTCCTGAGGGGTGGCCAACTTTTCCCCTAGGAGGGCTCCTACCATGGCTGCATGATGGGTGGAAAGCTGCAGGAGAAGTGGGTGGTGCTTTTTCTAGTATGGGGGATTCAAGATGGGGGAAAGGATTTGCTGTGGGTTGCCAGAACGTAGCCTGGAGAAAGGGTGCCTTTAAATAGCCTGATGCAGTGGGGCAATAGCAGCTTTTCTCCTCTGGTTCCTTTATCCATCCTCCATTTCCCTGCCTGCTGTGTAGTTCATCATCTTACAGCAGGCAGGCAGAAGGAGGCAGAAAACAGTCTTGAAGGAGGACTAGGAGAGGTGCTGCAGCTGCCTTTTCGCCTGCTGCAGAAGGGGCTTTGAAGGTATGTGTTGCAGACCTGTAGATTACAACCTGGTGCTTCCTGATATTTGCCAGGTATGGAGCTGCTCAAACCATAAGTGTCTGTATAGTCAACAAGTTGGCATCCTTTGGCTGGGGAGGAAAATGCAGATCCATGCAGGCTTCTCCAGTAGTTCCTCTTGAACTGGGAACTCCCAGAGGCCTCTGGCAGGCTTCTGAGCTAGATGGACCTTTTGCATTAATGCAGCATTGAGCAAACAGTCCTTGCTGGCAAGTGTCCATTTCCAAGGCTTAAATCTGACATGTTATGCATGTCAGTCACACTGGATTTGCGGCTGATAGTTCTCAGGTAGTGACCGAAGGATACACAGTTTAGATGAAACTCTGACATGTGATTATCTTTGGAGCAGCGGTTTCCTTTATGGTAGGCACCTGTCATGCCATTTGACCGTGTTCTCTGTTCCCTCATAGAAACCTGGGTGCCTTTGGGAGGTGATCGTGCATTCCCTGGTGACCGTGATCTCATTGTTTCCATTAGGGTATGAACAGATGCAGCACGGACAACCGCCGGTTTGAAGAGCAAGACGTTGCTTTCCCAGCTTACAAATCTGTACCTGTGCGTATTCTAACTGCTAGCGTCTTGGTCCCCTGCAATGGACACCTGTTGCACTCAAAATGCAGAACAGCTGTGGTGGGGAGACGATGTGCCAACCGACTTTACTGTGGTCATTTCAGTTCAGCCAAGATCCCAATATTTCTAACATTTTATGTAGCATTTCTCATGTATTCGTGCATCATTTCAATAGTCCATACTATAGCCCTATAAGTAAGGTCAGTATTGCTGTCCTCATGTTTTAGATGGGGAGCTGAAGACCACTTATTGACAGTGTCTAAGACCACTTATTGATAGTGACTAAGGCAAGATTCTGACTAGAGTTTATATTCCAGTTCATGCACATAGACACTGTACTGCCTCTGCTCCTAAGAACACCATTCTGGTATTAGACCGCAGTTCTACGCTTATCCATAACCGAGAGAGCAATCTGAAACTGGTCTACTCAGAATCCTATTTGCATTTATTCTGTGGTTTCTCCTAGGCTCATTTAAAAAAACAATCTTAGACACTTATATGAGTTTTAGTTGATTATGTGATGTGCCTACATATGTTTGCATTTGAGTAAAACAGTAGCTCTCAATTAAACAAAAATCTTCATTTTTTTTAGACAATGCCCATGTATGTCACAGCAGGCATTCAGCATGAAGAGGCTCCTGTGTTTGAGAGGAGGATCTCTTCTATGGGTGTGGATTAGGAAGAACATGCAGTAAAAAAAAAGTTTTGAAAAAAATCTACTCAGTTAAGCAGGAGGAGTTCTTTCTAGATCAGTCAAAGAGCTTTGATAATTTCAGCTAAAATAACACTACATCTTATTAAGCATTTGGGGATTTTTAAAACTGTGCTGACATTCCTTTATTATTATTTTTAATTAGGAATACGTAGTTCTTTCCATCCTATCCTACAACAAATTTTAAATAGTAAAATCTGCAATGAGTAATACAAAACCTAAAATAAATAGTCTCAGCCTTAAAAAACCCTAACCCTTTGAGAGTCAGCCAGCAGGCTCCAGTGTCTTAAAACACAATAATTTAAAAGTTAAATAAATAAAAGTAGCCATGATCATCGGCAAAGCATTCTTCAAGACCAGCAGTTCCACAATTCTGCAGGGGGGGAAAAAGATTTTAAAACTTACAAACGGAAGGCTCCTTGAAACAGGGCAACCTTCAGTAGCCAGCCAAAGGGGAACAGGGAGGATGCCCTTCAAGCTTCTCTTAGGACAACATTCCAGAACGGTTGCTTCCAAGACCCCCGCCCCATAGTTACCCACCATTCTTCACATGGGGGGAGCACATGGAAGAAGACCCCCAGTGATGAGGGAGGTCTCCACGCAAGACTATATGGAGCACTAGGATGAGGAACACCTTTGCGAAGAGGACTGTGGCCAGGTTCACGGATTGTGTCTTGCATTCTGACTCCCCCCCCCTTTTCTTGTCTTAGATTTCTGCCTTGAAGCAGAATGGGCTCCTGCAGTCTCTGTCCGCAGCGGCCAATGGATGCAGAGAAGTGGGTAAGGGTTCAGCGGACTGAATTCTTGAGTTCTGTTGCTTTGCTGGTGATGGAGGTGCTATAGTTATGCAGTAGCCAGATTGCTTTTATGGTAGGGTTGCCAGCTCTGGGTTGGGAAATTCCCGGAGATTACTGGGGGTGGAGTCTGGGGAGAGCAGGGTTTGGGGAGGGGAGAGACCTCAGCAGGGAATAATGCCAGAGAGTCAGTTCTCCAAAGCAGCCATTTTCTGCAGGGGAACTGATCTTGGTCACCTGGAGGTCAGTTGTAATAGCAGGGGATCTCCCGGTGCTATTTGGTGTAGTTTGGTGCAGTTTGGTGTAGTGGTTAAGTGCGCGGACTCTAATCTGGGAGAACCGGGTTTGACTCCCCACTTCTCCACTTGCACCTGGCTGGATGACCTTGGGCAAGCCATAGCTCTGATAAGAGCTGTTCTTGAAAAAGAGCAGTTTCTGTCAGAGCTCTCTCAGCCCCACCTACCTCACAGGGTGTCTGTTGTGGGGAGGGGAAGGGAAAGGAGTTTGTAAGCCGCTCTGAGACACCTTTGGGTAGTGAAGGGCGGGATACAAATCCAATCTCTTCTTCTTCTTCTTTATGGTGATTCCCTTGAGCACTCTGGAGAAGTTGGGCAGAAACGTGAAGAAGGGTGGTGCTGGCAGATTGCACCTCAGGGTGGTTCTTGTACGGTGTGGGTGAAAAGTGCCGTCAAGTCACAGCCGACTTACGGCAGCCCTGTTGGACTTTCAAGGCAAGCGGCATTCAGGGGTGGTTTGCCATTGCCTGCCTTTGCATAGCAACCCTGGGGTTCCTTGGTGGTCTCCCATCCAGTATAAACCAGGACCGAACCTGCTTAGCTTCTGAGATCTGACGAGATCAGGCTAGCCTGAGCCATAGCCTCCAAACATCCGTGCCCTGACTTCTGTATGGCCCGCTCTCTGGGAATACTACTTTTGAAGACAGCCGCACATGGATGCAGCCGCCACAGCCAGGGCAGTTCTCTGCTCTTTGTGATTGCTCCCTGCTCATGGTCAATGTTCCCTCTAAGCCGTGAAGTCTTGTGAGCAAAAATTCTACTTTGTGAGCTACTGGCATTAAAGTTGTGAGCAAGCAATTTGGCTACTGCATAAATTAATTTGCTCTGGAGCCATCCTTCCTGAGCTGAGACAAAGATGTGTGAGCTGGAGGCTAAAAAACTGTGAGCTAGCTCACTCTGACTCAGCTTAGAGGGAACACTGCTCATGGTAAAGGAATCGCCCGACTTGTTCCCAGCTGCTTGCAACTTTGCAGGCAACCATTGGAAGAGGGAAATGCTCTGCACGGTAGCTTCTACTTATGGGAAAGAAGATGGATTGTTAGTGTGCCATGAGCGGAGAACAGCAGCCGCCAAAGTCTTGAGTGCATCAGTCTTCTCAGGCAGTGGGCAAGCCGGAAATCTTGTGTTCGTATCCTTGTGTTCCTCACAACAGCTGCACGGTGCACATGTATCACCTGAGTAGCTGTGTGTCAACTTTGATTTGTAAGCCCGCTACAACCATTGCTCTGAAGGTTTCTGGTATTTAATTTCTTAGAGCTTTGCCAGGAAATAGCGTACATTCCTCTACAGTTTGCAGCCTCAAATAAATCAACTTGTGGCAGAACCCTGTGGTGTCTGATGAACTGAGCTTTCACTCACAAAAGCCTGTACCCTGGAATGTTGGGCTGGTCTTTAAGATGCTACTGGACTCTAATTTTGTTCTACTACTATAGTCTAACGTGGCTACTGACCTGAAACTTTTCATATGTTTTCTTGTTTAATAAGTCCTGCTGAGTTCAATGGGCTCCTTCATAAGTATGCCTAGGATTACAGAATGTTTAAAAATACTTGAAAAATCTTGCTTGAAATCTGGCTTCCATGTTTCCCCATAAATATTATCGAGGAGGAAGTAGAGAATTTATACGCTTCTGCACACATGCTTTAAGTGGAGCTTTTAAAAACTAAACGGTGTAGATTCGGCAAGTTTCTAGGCCTCATGATGTGGGGCTGAACATTTTAATTATCAGCATTTTCACTCTGAATTGCAAATAAGTACATTTAGTTAAAAGTACACTGCCTTGTTGCTCCATATTGAAAGAGTTCTTGAAGTTCTGGAAGCTGTTCTGAAAAACGTGTAAATGACGTGGAGGCAGTTGTGTGTCAAATAAGATCCCCCCCCCCCTTTTTAAAAAAAGAAGTCTTCAGCATTAAAACTTCAAAATATGGAAATGGTTCTGAATTTTGCTGCAGTGGAATCCCACCTCTCTCTGTTTCTTTGTTGCCAGATATTACTGAAGAAGTACGGCGAGCCCGAGAAGAATGGGAGGCTGTGGAAAATGTCCATCCAGGAGGTATGGCCATAACATTTCCTTTGGAGTGGAGACCAAAGCAGCATTGAAATGGGTGCTTCTTGGTGACAGGGGGAGGAAGCACTGGGGCATTACCACAGCCATAAAATGTTCCTCCTAATAACATAATAGTAGTAAAAATTGTAGAAATGGTGCAGTCCAGGAATTCTTAATTTTAAAAGTCTGTGTGTCACATTTCTATTATGCTTTTCCTCCAAGGATCTCAGAGACTGTGTTTCTCCCCTCCTCCATTTTATCCATACGACAGCCCTGAGAGGTAGGTTAGGCTGATGGAGAGTGACTGGTCCAAGGTCACCTGGTGAGCTTGATAACTCAGTGGAGATCTGGACCCTGGTCCTAGTCCAGCACTCTTAACTGCCAGCTTGGTGTAGTGGTTAACTGCCAGCTTGGTGTAGTGGACTTGACGGCACTTTTCACCCACACCGTACAAGAACCACCCTGAGGTGCAGTCTGCCAGCACCACCCTTCTTCACATTTCTGACTCTAATCTGGGAGAACTGGGTTTGATTCCCTGCTCTTCCACTTGCAGCTGCTGGATGACCTTGGGCAAGCCATAGTTCTGCCAGAGCTGTTCTTGAGAGAGCAGTTTCTGTCAGAGCTCTCTCAGCCCCACTTCCCTCACAGGGTGTCTGTTGTGGGGAGGAGAAGGGAAAGGAGTTTGTAAGCCGCTCTGAGACTCTGAGTGAAGGGCGGGGTATAAATCCAATCTCCTCCTCCTCTTTCTTCCCTGCACCAGTTTCCATACGTAAGGGACTAGGAGCTTCTTGGGTAGTTCATACACATTGCTCATTGTTTAGCACTGTAAGAATAAAGGATCTGTAGTACAGCTAGTCATGGAATCTGGAATCTTAGGAGGCCAATGGTGCATGCAGGCTCCATAGGTCTCTGCACCCATGGTGTGTATGAACTATATCCTTCCAGAGCCATGCAGTTTCATGGCCAAAGCTAATAACATAAGGATAAGCCCTAGGAATTAGATGAGAATGAGCACTGGTTCAGTTCTCTCCGGTCTTTTTACCAAACAAAGTGCATCTTTGCAGCTAATTGGGAACTGTGGCATGGCTGTTCTCCTGAATGTTTTGATTATCCCATTAGAATCTGGTACATCCATAAGTTTATTTGTCATCAGGGATTTGTAGTGTTCGGGCTGGTTTGTAATACTGGATGATGATGATTGAAGATGATTGAAAGGGATAAGTTGGAAATATGGTTGCCAACTGGCCTTGAGGAAAATGTTCCCTCAACACAGACTTAATGAGTGGAAATGGACAGTTGAAGCTTTTCCTGGCATGGAGGTAAAGGCAGAGTATGTTTTTCCCAAGGCCTGTTGATAGCACTAGACATGTGGTATGGCTGCCAGAATTTCAGAGCTGGATTCCGACATAACAGAGCTGTAGTATTTAACTGGAATTTGTGAGGAAATGTCTTGAGGATTGCCGTCTCAGTGAGAGTGAGTGGACAGGTCTTCCAGCATAATATCCTGCAGCTTGAATAAAATGTCAGGAGTTAAAATCCCCTCAGACCTTATTATAAGATCCTTCACAGATTGGTAGAAGCCCAGGGGCCACTACTTGGTCACAGTTGGCAAATTAACAAACAGAATCAGGTACATTTTTTGGCGGTGAGTGACGGAACCTATTTCCCCTCCCTTTAATAATGTACTTTGCTTCTTATAGTTGATTGTTGGCATGTTTATTCAGACGTAACCATCACTACCAAGTAAATGAGCATAGGATTTGTAGCCTTAGGTGAAGGGAATTAACTAGTGACAGAAAAAAGCTTTTGCTAGCAATTTATTTAATAACCGGGAATCAAGTAACATTTTCTGTCACAGCGGGATTCCCCCCCCCTTTTTTTTTTTGCTAGGGGCGTGCTTGAAAGGGAAACCACCTAATTTAATAGGCATGCTTGAGAGATTTAATTTGCTTCCAGTTGGTTCCCCCAAGACAGGAATATATATATATATTTTGGGGGTGGGGAGTAGAAAGAATTGTCTCATTTAGCATAGGTTCAGATCCCCCCTGACATTAAAAATCGAAGTAATGCTGTTGTCCTATAAAAGAAAAAAATTAAGCCTACCAAGGACTGCCAAATCTCTGCTTGCTGAAGCTGGAACCTTCCAGTCCTCCCCACTTGGGGCCAAAATATATGTTTTCCAAAGCTGAAATGGGCATGGGGGGACCCTACTTGCCCCACAGTCGGGCAGATGTTCCCCCACAGCAGGCCAGGAAAGTGACAAGAGGGGGGAAGGCTGAATCCTGTCCTGCCCAAGCTACAGTCCCAAACTGACCTGGACCCTGATGTACTTGGGAACATTAGTTCCTCAATATCATGTTCTGTCTTAAAAAAGAAAACATAGTTAGAGCCAGAGAAACCCCAACCTGACTCATGTCAGAGGTGTGACATCTAGATTGGCTGCTTCCAGCCAGCAAGCTTAGGGCAGGTTAGACAGCCAACGACTCCTGTGCTGTACAGATCACATGCTTTCCTCTGTCCGCTGCCACTGTCGCTCCTGCCTTGGCTCATTGTGTGTGTGTGTGTGTGTGTGTGTGTGAGAGAGAGAGAGAGAGAGAGAGAGAGAGAGAGAGAGAGAGAGAGAGAGAGAGAGAGAGAGAGAGAGAGAGAGAGAGAGAGAGAGAGAGAGAGAGAATGGGCCAAAAAGCAACATGCTGCAGGCAGTGTACGCCTTCTTTCTCTTTGCTGTCAGTTTCATAACCACTAGACGTGAAACAGCGCCAGGTTTCTTCCTGTGCTTGCCCAGAAAATGCTGAGCGAGTGCATGAACTGCAAGTGCAGTTTTATTTAGGACTGCATTTAGGTTGGTTTCGCTTTTGTTATTAGCAGTCCTAGCTGGAGTTTTTAAACTGTGACTTTTATGGGTTTTATAATAGTGGTTTTTATTGGGTCTTCTTTGGTGTATGTAATGTTTTATTTATATTGTAAGCCGCCTTGACTTCCACAAGGGAGAAAGGCAGCTGATGAATGCTTTCAATAAATGAAATCCTGTGATCTGTGTGTGGTTGCCGAGAAGCTTGAAATTTAAAGAGACCAAAAAAGAACCAAGAAGAGGCAGGCTGCAAGCAGTGGATAGTTACAATCCCCCCTCCCTCGGCTGCTGGTACACAGGGAGGGGCACACAGTCAGCTTGTGAGCCGTTGGTTGTACAAACCTCTGCTATGCTAACTCATCTTCAGCAGCTCTTAACAAATCTGTCTGTTTTCCTGAGGCTTCTGAAGACCGAAATGAATGGCATCAGCTGCGTGTCGGCATCAGATATGTCTGTGCAATCTTTGCGTGACTTGATTTTGATAGATGAAAGATGCATTTATTTATTATTGGCTTCGTTTTTACTCTGCCTTTCTTGCCAGTGGGAGCCCGAACTGGCTTCTGTCGTCCCCCCATTTTATCCTCGCAGCAGGCCTGTGAAGTGGGTTAGGCTGAGAGTGTGGGACTGACCCAAAGACATCTGGCCTGCTTCCATGGTGTCAACAGTAAGCGATCACACAGCAAAAAAAAAAGGCAAACCTCTGCACAGTAGAAGACGCTGAGAACTGAGGCAAGACCAGCAGTAGGAACTGGTGTTAATATTTTCTTCTATGATTTCTTTGGTTTAGACTGGTTGCCCATTTATACAAACTGCACATTCTTCTGAGGGATGTTCTTCTGAGATGTGTATATCCTGGTCGTATTGAAAATTATACCTGAGATAACTTGTAATAGTCTTAACTGAAGAAGAAATTTGAAACGAAGTTATTAATATCCAGAACCTTCGTATCAACTCATTGGACTACTTACCTGCTTGATCGACTTACGCTTCTTTGCATCTATGTATTATTCATGTGTTTGTTGTATTTGATGGCCTTGTTATTCATGATTTAATATTCTCATTCGTGTCCTTATATACATTACAATATTATATTTATTAGCTTCTGCTACTCTCAGCGTCTTCTGTTGTGCACAGCTTTGCCTATTTTTTTATGCTTTCATGGTGTGGCAGTCTAAGCCCGTTGATTTCAGTGGGCTTAGACTGGAGTAACTCTGCACAAGATTGCATTGTGAGTCTCCCAGATCCTAGTCTGACGGGAGCTACTACACCCCTCTGGCTGTCAAAAGATATCAAAGGAAACGTTGAGGACTAGCAAAGGTTACAGCCCCCATCCTACTGTCATCGAGGCTGTAATGCTTGTAGTTGCCTACTTTTGCTTCATATCTGTCAGTCAGTGAGCCTGTTAAGGAAACTTCAAGCAAAACACAGAAAGAGCATTACAAGTGCTCAGAAAATAACTGACACTGTAACGGCAAGCAGAGAATCACTTGCAGAAAGCTCACCCTGGTGCCAATCAACAGTTTGACAGGACGGTGATGGCATTGCAACAGAATGTTAGAACGGGAGGGAAAATGTGGGATCGTGGACTCCAAATTCACAAGGATATCACCACTTCCTACATGCATTGTTGATTGTGTGTCTGCGGCTTGGCAGCTGAGACAAGACATCTCACCAAACTGGAGTACGTGTTTTGAAAGCTTGTGGCAGTGTTGCACTCACGTTGGTGATGTGCAGCCGATTGACTTCATCTCTGCGAAAGACGTTGACACCAAAGTTCCCTCTAAGCTGTGGAGTCTTGTGAGCAAAAATTCTACTTTGTGAGCTGCTGGCATTAAAGTTGTGAGCAAGTGATTTGGCTACTGCATAAATTAGTTTGCTCTGGAGCCACCCTTCCTGAGCTAAGACAGAAATGTGTGAGCTGGAGGCTAAAAACCTGTGAGCTAGCTCACACTAACTCAGCTTAGAGGGAACATGGTGTCTTTGCCAAGTACCTACACTGCTAGACCACAATGAGGAATTCACCCCTCCAGGTTTATCCCGCGCATTCCCATTCACAAAATATGGTTTATTCTCTGCTGACACCAGCAGGTCACTAGAAGCATGGCAGGCTGACACCCTGTAGTTAGGTGGTCCTCTTTTAAAAATCAAAATCCCCTGTTTAATTCTACCCCCATGGACATAGGGGGAAAGTTTGGAATTTATCAAGTGAGATTTACACAACTTTCCTGTTTAGCATGATATTACCCCTTAGGCACTTTGATAAGCGTGAGCCAAAATATAAGGCTTTGTCCATGGTTGCTGTTTTTCACATTCCAAGCCTGCCTGATGCATCTTACAGGTAGAAACTGACGTCAG